GCATGTGAGAGCAGCTTGTGTAACACAGAGTAGGGTGGGAATGCTCAGTTGTAGGTATCTGAGCATCTCTGGCCTTTCATTTTGTAAGTGTTATCTGAAGGCAGACTACTGGAAGATTCCTGGGAGGCCTGGGGAGGAAGGGAGCCAAAGCCGGTAGGTGGGGTGCTCACAGGTTGGTGGGGGATAATGTAGGTAGTCAGAGTGCTGTGGATTTCTGAGGGGTACTGCCTCCTTCTTTTGGGTGGGGGCTCTTTCTTTCCTGATAGGAAAAGATTTGTTGTGCTGGTGGACTGTTGGCAAATTTGGGAATTAAACACAGTCATGTTGGCTGGGTTAAGGCATTTCATCTCCCATCTAGAGGATACATAAGTAGGGTGGGGTGTGCTGTCTTCCTTCTCACCTGCCACCTCTGGAGTTTTTGTCCCAGCTGCAGGCAGTCGGTAGGAGCGGATCCTAGACCACATAACAGTCAGTCATGCAGGTTGCAGATGGGATAGTCTTCAAACTTGGTTTGTGTGGCAGCTTTGAGTTTAAGGCTGATTCAGGGCTCTTGAGTGAAACATTTCTTCCTTTGTTTTCCCAAACACCAGGGAAGGATCAAATCATTTTTGTGACCAAAGAAGACCACGAAACCCCAAGCAGTGCAGAGCTGGTGGCTGATGACCCCAACGATCCATATGAGGAGCATGGTGAGTGACATTGGGCCTCCTAGGGGCCCACAGACATCTTATGGGGGTGGGAAACTCAATTTTCTTAATTACTTTCCCATTTTGTCCTGGCCAAGGCTGTGCTTTGAGGTATCCATCTCAGCCATGGGCCATCTCTCAGGGCAGTGAGTCTCCCTCTGAGGTATGAAGTGCTGTGCTGGGCAGAGCCTCACCCTGATGCAGGGCCCTGGCCAGTGGGCCAGAACAGTAGTTTCTCCTTACTAAAATACTTCTGCCTTTTCTAAATTTTTGCAGTGATCTAAGTCAGATGCTTCACAATGATTAGTTTTAGGGGAGAATTTCAGTGGATTCCATCTATTTAGGTAGGTTAAGGTGCCAGGGATCCTCAGTGAAGTTGTCAGACTGACTTCTGCCACATCTACCTCCTTTTTAGTGGTCCAGCAAGTGCCTTGCACAAAAAGTTCACTTGACAATTTTTCCAGTAGCAGGATTCAGCCAGCCTACTCGGTTAATGGCTGAATATAGCAATGGTCAGTTGGGCCTAGGCCATCACTCCCAAGTCTTAGGCCTGCTGGACTCACTCGGTGGTTATTACCTCAGCCTAGGTGAGGTGGATGTGTGTGTGTGGCATTCATGAACAGCATACATATTGAAAACTACTCACTTCACCAATCAAAAACACATGGTGATAACTGACAAACTTTGCAGTACTAATTGGTTATAAACACAGTTGAAGAACTTGAGGCATCTGTCTCTGGAGTATGGACTCCTGACTGGAATTTTTTAAACACTAATTAAAATGTATTTTTCAGGTAGGACCTTTCACTGCTTATAGGTATTAGGGTAAAGCTGAGGATACATGGCTAGCAACCTGTGTGGAGAAGTGGAAAGTACACGTTGCTCAAAGTGACAGCATTCTGAGAATTACAGGGGGTAATATTAAATCTGCACTCTTTTACAAAGAAAAAGAAATTGAATGTCATTTCCAGTGTTTGCCTATCTTTAGGTCCATGTTAAGCACATTTTGTTAATTGATCAAGACTGCGTAGCTGGCTGCAGTGGGTCACACCTGTGATCCCAGTACTTTGGAAGGCTGAGGAAGGAGGGTCACTTGAAACCAGGAGTTCCAGGTTGCAGTGAGCTATGATCACACCACTGCCAGGGGGACAAAGTGAGACTTTGTCTCTTTAAAAAAAAAAAAAAAAAAGCCTTTGTAGAGCACTGTAGGACAAATCAGACCTTGTTTTGTTTTCCTCAGTTTTTTAAAAATGTAAATGCATCTGCCTTAGACTGGGCAGCCCCTCCAGTTCCTACCATTCCTTATTGTCCCCTTTGTTTTCTCTACCTACTTCTGTCAAGTATAGTGTATCTGCTTGGACTCTATAGGTAGTCCCTGTAATGTGTTTGTCTTTCCTGCTAATGAATACTTGTACAATGAAGCATATAAAGGCCAGAGAATTCTAGCACTTAGGTTCTTAGCTGTCAATTGCAAAATTACTAAGTGGACTATGCACCAATGCCAGTGCCCGTCAGCTGCCTGCCTTCCAGCCTCCAGCCCTGTGGCTATGATTGTTCTTGGAACAGCCAAGAGAAAAGATGGCAGAATTAATTTTCCTAGAATCTAAAAGTCAGGAGGGCTTTTCAGATCACCTGGTCCAATGGGAAAAGTGAGGGTCTAGGAGTAGCAAGGACTAGAACTCTAGGCCTTTGACGGCCTGTCTTTAATACAGCATCTGGGCTTAATTTAACGTACCATAGCTACCTTTTGTGTGGATTTACATTGTTTCCCTGAAGTGCAAATTGGCACCATGGTTTTTCTGAGGAGCTGTCTCATTCCAGTTCACCTTCCCTTGAAAAATAATGAAGCAAGGGTTCCTACAGACCTGTGTTATAATTTTAAATGTCAGTATTCTTTCCTTTGGAAACTAGTTGTGTAGGTTTGATTGCAGATTTGAAGCTCCAGGGGGCAGCGTTTGTGAATGTTTTTCCAGCACAGAGATTCTTGTGAAGTAGGGAGCGAGGTGGTGAGATGTGGGAGAAAGGGCACATGTGGGAATCCTTCATGCCCTGGCTGCAGCCCTAATTTGGCCCTTATGAACCCCAGAAACCTCATGTATAAAACTCCACTTAGTAGTACCTGCTGCAGAGGTTGTCAGAAGGATTATGTGAGTTAACGAGTATGGCTTAACACAGAAGAACTTGCTCTGTAGCTGTTGATGGTGCTAGTGGTCAGCTGCCTGCCAAGGAGCTGGTTCTTGTCTCCGCTGTTGTCCTCATCTTACAAATAAGGAACAGCAGTGGCTGATCCATTAGTGAACCTTCCCAAGCTGGAGGTTTCACCTAGGACTTTGGGCACTAGTACAGAGTGCCAAGCATGGGTACTTCCCTGGAGAGAAGAATCATGTCCAATCTCATTGGGCATTTTAAAGTCTTTCTTAGAGAGTGTGCTCAGTCTCCTTAGAAGACTCATGTGAGGAACTTCTGTATGAATCCTATTTCCGTATCTGTCACAAAGCTGAAAGTGAAGCCATTTTGAAAGCATTTTGGAAAACCAGGAAATACTATATAGATGTGAACAAAGTTCCAACAATAAGAAAAGGTATAAAATTCAAGAGTAAGAGGCCTATATAATATTGAAAATGAAAACCCATCTAAAACCTCATTCCCTTCACAACAACATTGTATAATTTAACAGTTTGGTTGATTTTTTTACAAGAATCCAGTTGCAGCACATGGCATGGCACTAGCCTTTCATTGCGTGGCATGTCTTGAACGTCTTTTCCATATCCGGCATAAGGATAAACTTCCTCCTCCTTACCAGTCTCCAGACTGCTGAGCTGAGAGCAGCTGCAGGGCAAGAGGGGTTCAAGGGCAGGGAGCATGGGGGGAATAGGGTGATCTGGTCCTGATCATTTGTATGGGGGGCAGGGATTGGAAGCAGGAGATCAATACCTCAGCTCCTTAAGGTGTCTGGGCTTTCAAAAAGCTCAATAACCATCCCAGTGATCGCTGCTGCTTTGGAATGATTTCTAGTATTATTGAAGCACACCCACATAGCTCGAGGAGTTGGTTCAGAATATAGATCGGTGTTGCAAATGGAGAAAGATGCCAATGATGTCTTTTCTCCCAGCTGAGCCAAGGAATACTGGATTTGTAATAGGCAATTGAACCTGATCCACATCAAGGGTCAGGTCCACAGGTGATGCCTACCAGGCAACTGTTCTGCACCTCCTAAGTGGCTTGGGAGTACTGGACTGATTTTGCTTTTTGGAAACTTAGAGAACATCTTTGACACTTACTCGTCTTCCTGTTCCAGGGTTGATACTGCCAAATGGAGACATAAACTGGAACTGCCCATGCCTTGGGGGAATGGCCAGCGGCCCCTGTGGGGAGCAGTTCAAGTCAGCCTTTTCGTGCTTCCACTATAGTACGGAGGATGTCAAGGGATCAGACTGTATAGACCAGTTCCGGGCCATGCAGGAATGTATGCAGAAGTACCCAGACCTCTATCCCCAAGAGGATGAGGAAGAGAAAGAAGAGAAGAAGCCAGCAGAACATGTAGAAGAAACGGCTGCTGCTGAGGCCACTGCAACCAAAGAAGAGGAGGGGTCAAGTTAATGAAGGCCAGAAGGCACTGGAGCCCAGTCCTTCCATTTTAGAGTGATATGGACCTTTTATAAAATGCCTTTTAGTCACCTTCCAAGAAAGTATCTTTTCCTCTGTTTTGTGCACTGTAATGTACAAGATAACTTATTTTGATGCTCAGAGGTCTTGGCCTGTTGACATATACACTGAAAAAAATGGGGATTATATGTATGTGTTTCATATACAAACCAGTGAGCAAATGTAGCCTCTACTTTTGAATTCACTTCTCAGATTGCTCTGAATTTTACCACTTTGAAATAGTGGGCTGAATATTGCCAGCATCCAAAAATCACTATCCAGGAATGTTTCTTATGAGTGAGTTGATTTATTCTGATTCATCATATTTATACCTTTTAGTAGATTTTATACCCTTTGGGTAATGAAAGAGAAACAAAACATCTTCCTTTAAAATGCTGGGGTGGGGCCAATTCCTGCTTAGAAGAGGCTAGATGGTGAGGTACTTACTACTTAAAAAGCATCTTGACCTTGAGCGTATAAGGGGGTGCTACACTTCATTCCTGATACATTTTGGTTTCCATTTTTTTAGGTTTTTCTAATTTCAGAAGGTGGAGATTTGGACCCTCCCATTCATGATCCCTTTCTAGTGAAGAGAAAGGGTGGTTCTTACTGTTCTTGCTATTCCAAAAACCCTAGTTTGGGACCTGTGTTCACACTGGCTTTCAGTCTGGTCAGATGCAATGTTCTGAGAGGTGGGGACCCAGTTGTTACCGGAGTAGCAGCCAGGAGAAGTAAGAGCGTGAATTAAGTAATTAAAAGAAACTGTGATTTCTACGTGATTTTGAATGTGTTCTTTGCTTTTCCTAATAAAAATTATTTTTGATGTAAGGAAGTATAAATTATGAAAAATTAAATTGAAACTCATCTTTAAAGGTACTGGTAAACCAGTTTGAGTCTGTTAAAATTTTCCGTATTGATTTTAAAGCATGCTCACTTTTTTTTGTATGTGAGCAGATGCGTTCCAACAGACATGGCAGTTAATCCATGTGGTGGAGAAGGCTCTTTCCATTTGAAGGTCAAGAAAAGAAGCCTTTGTAGATTAACTTGACTAAAGTAACTGTTAGACAGTTTACCGGTTATGGTGTAATAATTCCCCTTTTGTCCCAAGTGTATTACTATGTAAACAGTAAATAACTGTCCCAAGTTATTGCTATGTAAAAAAATCACCTTAGTGCTGAATGGCATTTTTATCAGAAAATGAAAATACCTTAAACAAGGTGCATGGCTTACCTGGATCCTCTGAATCAGTCCCTCATTAGGTTATGATCCTTGCTATCATTTCAAGGCTTGACAGGCCTTTCAGAATTGCTTGAGTGGTTTTTGACAGTATTCTGCAGGTTGAATTTTGTGGATTGCTGGATCAAAGCCAGCGACCTCCCTGGGTTCCCTTAGGTTAGCTTACAACATGGCAGGTGGCTACTATGAAAGCTAATGAGAGAGCAAGAGCCTTTTTATAACCTAAACTTGAAAATGGTTTTCCATCACTTTATCATATATTTATTAGAAGTACATCCACACTTTTAACAAGCCTATATTTAAGGGAAAGGACATGAATACCAAGGCGCTGCCCACCACACTGAGAATAAGGCAGCACATTTAAAGGTTGAAAGCACAGTTAAAAAGTGAGGCGTTGTGGTTCAGAGACATTAGGGAAGTAGAGAACTGTGATAATCTATATACAGAAGTTTGAAAAATCTTGTTTGGTTAGGAGCTGGCTAAGTTTAGAAGGTATGACAGCCCGGTGGAGGGTCCCTGTAATTTTGACAGAGCCTTGCACATCCTTTTTAGTTAAAATTTTGGCCACAACTAAGGTGTTACTGATTTGTGACTCTGGCATGCATCTCATTCATTTGATGCATTAGGAAACCACTACAGTTCTGAGGGACATGGAAGAGTGATTAATTCCTGGTACCTGCCTATAAAGCTACAGTCTAGTCAGGGAGTCAACGTTTACTAGAAAGCAGAAAGAAGTGGATGGATATTACATAATGGTTCTGGATTCTCAGGGTAGATTGTAACCTTCTAGCCAGGGCAACTTAAACTTTGCCTAAGTCCTCGGGTAGGTGAAAGATTCTGTCCTTTCCCACTTTTCAGTGGAAAACTAAAGTGACAATAAGAAAGTGGTACTGCATGAACAGTTGGGAGTAGTTAGAGATTATGCTTTAGTGCAAGGGATTTGGATAATTCATATTTAAACTGCCATGTATCTTAAAAGCAAAAAACTAACAGGCCAAAGAGGTGGTAATGATTCCAATAAACGAAGAGTTGATAAGGTATAAAGAACAGTAGTATGGCTAACTACCTGTAGCTCAGTGGTTAGAGTGCCAGCCACATACATAGGAGCTGGCAGGTTCAATCCTGGCCCGTGCCTGCTAAACAACAACTACAGTAAAAAAAGTAGCTGGGCGTTGTGACGGGTGCCTGTAGACTCAGCTACTTAGGAGGCTGAGGCAAGAGAATCACTTGAGCCCAGTTTGAGGTTGCTCTGAGCTATGATGCTATGGCACTCTACCTAGAGCAACAGCTTGAGACTCTGTCTCAAAATAAATAAATAAATAAAAGCTCATATTAAAACAGGCACAATGGAGTTGGTGCCTGTAGCTCAGTGTTTAGGGTGCCAGCCACATACACAGGCTGGTGGGTTCGAACCCGGCCAGGGCCAGCTAAACAACTGCAACAAAAACAAAATAGCCAGGTGTTGTGGAGGATGCCTGTAGTCTCAGCTACCAGGGAGGCTGAGGCAAGAGAATTGCTTAAGCCCAAGAATTTGAGGTTGCTTTGAGCTGTGACATCACAGTACTCTACCAAGGGCGACATAGTGAGACTCTTTAAAAAAATAAAAATAAAACAGGCACAATGTTTTGAAGGCATATAAATTCACTATGAGCTTTTGAACATCTTCACTCTCCTGTAGATTGAACAGTGAATCAGAAATAATATGTTTAAAAAAGAAAAAAATGGATGGTTATGTCTGTACTGAACATGTGTTTTTTCCATTAACAGATGAACAGATGGACACAATGCACGTATGGTGGAATGTTATTCAGTCTTAGAAAGCAAATTCTGACACATGGTACAACATGAATAAACTTCAGAACATTTTCTTGAAAAAAGGATCACCTGAGCCCAAGAGTTTGAGGTTGCTATGAGCTATGACACCACAAGGCTCTACCAAGGGTGACAAATTCAAACTCTGTCTCAAAAAAAAAAAAAAAAAAAAAATTAACTGATTCCTTAATTCTATGCTAAGTGGGGGGATGGAACATTCATGATTTTTCTTGAAAAGGGGTAGAGAATTCCTGCAATTGAGAACTCTCCCCTTTTCTACCCTTGTAAGGAAATTTCTGGCCATTGCCATGGTGTTTATAAGCTGTCAAGGAGCCTGTGGGTGTGATTTTTACTATGTTAATAAGAGTAGGTTATTTAGGGACACTTCAATGTGTGCATTCCCAAAGACCCCCCTATTGAGGCCTTGATTGAATCTTGACTTTTAGGTTTCTCTCTTTTTGGTTCATCAGTCCTTGAGACCCCTTCACGCATCATCAGTTCCTTCTTGGAAGCCCCCTTCTGGTCAATTTGTTCCTCCTAGTAAACAAAACATCTCCTAGTGTCATCTATTTCTCAGTGGGCACTCCTAGACAAAGCATCTGGCCCCCTTCCTCCTTATTACAGGTTATAGGTGAGTTCAGAGATTCTTTGGTTTATAATTGGTTAAAGAAGTCAAACTGTCTAAAGGCTTGAAATTAGGAGAAAGTAATGCTTTTAATGTTTAATGTTAAACAGGTTTGTAATTGGGTAAGCCACAATATGCCCTCAAAGTGAATGCTCAGCAAATTGATGGCCTGAAGGCATGACTTAACCTTTGCCTTGAGGTACTCTTTGTAATTTAGTATTTTATTGCCACAAATAATCTGTTTTGTCAGCTTTATGATCTCTGTTTTAATGTTAGTGCTTGGTAGCTTTTATGTATAAACTCCAAAAGGGAGGCTTGGTGCCCTGATAGCTTTAGTGGTTATGGTGCCAGCCACACACAGAGGCTGGTGGGTTTGAACCCGGCCTGGGCCAGCTAAACTCCAAAAGGGAGAGGGTTTAAAGGGGTGTGTTGGCCTCCTTTCCCTTCAGGACTAGGAACTCAGTTTTAAGGTTCTTCTGGAGTCCTGTTGGCCTAGAGGAGGTCCATTCAATTGTGGGAGGTGGAGGTTAAGATTTTATTTTTGGTTTATACTTGAGACTAGAGATGCTTCTACATTTTGGCTTTTGTGAATAATGCTGCTATGAACATGGGTTTGTGGGGAAGAAATCCTCAGAACTCTGACAAAAGTACAGCTATTTGGGAGACAAGTAGAGAAAGAAAGCAAGCCAGAAATTAAATCGCATGATTACAGCAAACTCCATCCCATACTCTTGTAAATCCTATGACCCTGACAAAAGTTTAGCCATCCTGGCAGGACAACTAGTGATAGAAAGCAAGTCAGAGACCAAATGACCTGGTCACAGCAACCCCCTCACCACCCTCCTTTCTCAGACACAGCATAAACTGTGTAAAAGATGACTTCCCTCACCTTTCATCACCACCTCCCACATTCCAACTAATAAAAGTCCCTTGAAACTGTGTGAGCTGAGCTGACATCTGGTCAGACTCCATTCTGCTCCTTTAAAATAAAGCCTATCCTCCATCTCTGGTCTGGCCTCCTCTCCTTTTGGACTCTGGCAGGACTCTATGCCTAAACCTCTCATTTTCATACCTCCTAATTCATTTTTTTAAGCTGAAGACCATTGATTGGACTAATTCATTTTATTTATTTATTTAGAGACAGAGTCTTATTTACTTATTTATTTTGAGACAGAGTCTCTCACTTTGTTGCCCTTGGTAGAATGCCCTGGCATCATAGCTCACAGCAACCTGAAACTCTTGGGCACAGGTGATTCTCTTGCCTCAGCCTCCCAAGTAGCTGTGACTATAGGCACCCTCCACAATGCCTGGCTACTTTTTTTTTTTTTT